GTCGACCTACCCTACCTACCTACTACGTAGTAGTAGTACGTTACGTTTCGTTTCTTACTACGTCGTACCTACTACGTACCTACCAACGAACGTACTACGTCGTACGTACTCTCTCTCTCTCTCTCTCTCTCTCTCTCTCTCTCTCTCTCTCTCTCTCTCTCCTTTTTTATATTTTAACCGTGGGAGTGAACTGTGGACCGTTATGTTGAGGCATACGTACGTTCGCGAATAGCCTCGGAAACTGACCAATGGCGGGTTCTGAGTAACCGGTAAACCGGCCACAGTTGAACTAACTGGTCTTGCTGAGCAGGTCTTGGTTGGTCCAAAAAGTGTTAAAAGATATATAAAAAAATAAAAAGTATAGCTAAAATATGATTAAAATCCAAATGAAGTTGAAAATTAATAAGAAAACAAAATGATTTTAAAAAATTAATTTGTGTCAGGGTTATTTTAAAAAATTTCTAAAAAATATAAAGAATAGGTATACATGGCCAAAACAATATCAAATCATTGCCAAAATGTTAAAAATAAGTTAACAAAAAATCCGTTATTTTCTAAGATTTTATATAATTTTTTTAAAATACCTGACCGGACCACCAAAACTGGATAGACCAGTGCCTTGTTCCTGTTTGACCGGCCTGATCCCAATTGGACCAGCTTAGTTTGCTAACACTGGCCCCAACCCATTCCCATATCTCTCTCTCATATTTTTACACCAATGACTCAAACGATTGGCCCAATCACTAGAGTAGGGGTGGCAAAGGGCTAGGCCGGGCCTGGCTAGGCCGGGCCTGGCCAGGCCAGGGCTGGCCTGACACGACTTAGGACAAGAGCTATTGGGGCCAGGGCGCCATGCACAGATCTGGCTCTTGTCTTGGGCTACATGGCCCGGCTTGACTTGTAGATGGGGTTTGTTAAGCTGGGCCGGGCAAATAACTATTAATTTTTTATATTATAAAGTTTAAAAAATAATAATAATAGTAGGGCAAAGTTCGGTGATGAGCCCTGGCCCAAGCTCAACCGTACATTAACTCGGCGGGCTGACTACTATATCACTTAAAAATTACTAAAAATATAAAAAAATACAAAAAATAAAATCCCAAAAAAAGAAAAACTATATTCAAAGTAAATTTTAAGCAGAGTGATTTACGTACAGACCTTAAAATTTTACGTAAAATACGAAATGCACCACTTTTATGCAGAAATTATAAAGAAAGTTAGGTCAACTAGCCTTTTTTATTTTATTTTTCAAAATTTCCTCTCGATCAACCCGAATTTTGATTTTGTTTTTAAGTTTTTTTTAAAAAAATCATTAGTAGGGCAGTGCCTTAAAGCTCGGGGCATTGCTTTGCTAACGAAAAAACTAAACAAAATCAAAATTCGGGTTGACAGAGGCAATTTGGAAAAAAATTTAAAAAGCGTGTGAACCGAATTTCTTTGTAATTTCCGCCTATAAGCAGAAGATTTTGTATTTTACCTAAAATTTTAAGATCCTTATGTAAATCACTCTTTTAACAAAACACAACTGATTGCAGTTAAAAAAGTAGTGTAAAAATAGATTTTAAAAAATTAGTTGGTGACCGGGGCCATTCACAGCCAAAATACTTTCCAATATTTGTCATAATAATAGAAA